AGCTCTTATCTCTACCAACGTAATTGTCACTGAAAACGGGATAAAATTCATTCCATAGATACAGGAGACCGCTTGGGAATACCAGTTGATGTAAGCTTAGCTGTGCTGGTGATGTAATGGACAATGTCTCGGAATCGTTAATCGGAGATCCGAGTTCAAATTCTAGTTGGGTTCATTATATTCACTTACGCGCTAATACCCTTCTACTTCTTCTCCCCCAGATATGGGCTAATTAGTAAGACTTGTATCACTAAACTGTTATTTTCTCTCAAAAATATTACAATATAAAAAAAAAATTCTGGCTGCAAAGTGTTGATAAACTAGAAAATGAATCGATAAAAAATGATACATGGGTGGGGGAATATATTTCGATTTTTTCCTATATTCTGGACTACTGTTATCATATTTCCCATTGAGAGAAATAAATATGGATTCGTCCAGAATTTAATCAGTTTTCTCTTCATCCAAAACAGTTCCATTCAAATTCATTGAGAACTTTTGAAGATATTGTCGACAAACGGTGATGATTAGGTTATTTACTCCATTCATGTAAACATAAATAACAAAACATGATTAGAATCTTTTGGCTTACCCAAGAGATAAGAGAGACAGATTTGCTGATCCAGTCCCTTTAACAACTTGTTACCACTGCCAAAGAAACGGACACAGCTGGTGAACTAATGTCATTAGGCCATATCGTCTTCACATCGGCTCGATTGTTGATGCTATTAACCAAGCACTTCGCTGTTAAGCACAAGGTCTTATTTACATAACACACCGGTAGGTCTGCTGGTTAAGTACATCTCAAGATGTCTGTGCCTGCACCTCGCTAGATAGACTCGACAAGACAACGACTTCTGATAGTGACTGGCGCATCTGTGGAAAAATCTTTCACAGCTTGTTAAAGCCATAGAGTTGCTGACTCTGTACCCGGGGGGCGGAGTCTCTCCTCTTGGAAACTCTCAACAACACATTAACGAGAAACAAACGCTATGGGCATAACCTCGTAAAAATTATCATTTTGTTAGTTTTTTGGGGATTTTTATTATTTTTTTTTCTTACTGACGAAGATACTTGGAAATCTAGAAATTAGTTGAAGCGATTGAATTTTTTTTTCGTGTCGTGTGCTGCATATTATATTATTTGTTCAATATTTCCTGAGATTTATTTCATATAGACTTTTTTTTTATTCTATGGAACGAAAAGAAACTACGAAATACTATTCTGTTGGTATTTAAATAAGTAAATATTTATTTAACTGAAGCAGTTAGGAGTCACATAATGGCTACGGATATAGAAAACAAATTTAGTGATTCAAGTTGCTTTGCCTTCATTTCGGACTAAAATTCTTTGGAAAAAAAAGCGTGTAGCTCCGAACTTGCTTTGTGCTAAACGGCGCTGCAAAATATTCTCTCTAACCTTGGAATTTTGTTAACGATATGATAACAGGATATTTTTTATTATTGTCGTTTTTTTTTGTTTTGTTTTTTGATTAGATTTTAATTCCTTCCTGAATTTTTGGGATGACGAGTTATCATTATTTACAATATTTACATGTTCACTGTGATAACAGCAAAAGTGTAAATAATAAATTTTACTAATATCAATTCAGTTTTTATTTATCTATTCATTTGTAAGGGAATATAATTGTTTATATATCATAACAGTTGTAGCACACCTACGAACGATAATGGGTATGTGTCCATTCACATAAATACAGTAGTAAATACTGTATGTTGGTCTGCAGTTGGAGATCCGAGCAGAGAGGATGATCAGACGAGGCTATGTCGAATGGCAGTCTCTCATCTCAGAAAACAGCTACCTGACCCCGTTTTATGCGGGATCTACGAGGAATTTTTGGCCAAGCCTACGGGCTCGAATACCCCGCATTAAATTCGGCCTTAGGCCACATCTGACCGCGTGAAGCGATTGGTAGTTATCCTGTAGTTGGAAATTTATTTGTGGAATTCACTTGACTCATTTCTGGGAGTTGACTACTACTGCTACGCGCCACTGGCGAATTTTATAAGGGTTGTTCTTGTCTTTACCTTAAGTATTATTGTCCATTACCAACTTTCGTGTGATTATTCTATCCAGTAACATTCCCTAGGTCTTAACAGTAACAATATTAGATAAATAAATGATAAAGTGGAAAAATTCTTTGCAGCACGTTTCGTCCTTTAAAAGGACTTCATCAGACTAAAGTAATGTTCTTATTAATGGAAGTGTGTGTGTGTAGGTGGTTAAATGCAAGCGTTGGCCATAAATATGCAATAAGCAGAAACACTGGAAATGTGAAAACGTTTAATTTCAAATATTTCACTTTAAAATTTTTAATTTTTCGTTCCCTACAACCAAACCCCCCCACCCCCGGGGCCCACATTGTTTCAACACCAGTTTAGTAAGTACCGGTGATCGGTTGAAGAAGCTTGATCGTATATTAAAAACAGGGAATTCGTAGATTATCACATTTTCAATGCATAAAAATCTTTTTAAAAATTAATATATAAATTAAAAAAAGTGAGTTGAAATTAGTAAGAAATCTAACCTAAAAACTGATTTAATTGAAATAAAATCAATTTTCCTGTTAACACTGATCAGCAAAACCTGTCAAAATAAGTTTCTAAATTGTCTTATGCATTTAGCATTCTGTCGGATTTTCATTTGAATTTAAATCCTAAATCCACACCAAACCCAGTGATATCGGTATTTAATTCAAAATTTATCGACTCCCACCGATTGACCGAGGTTCGTATAAGCATCTTTGTTGCAACTGTTCCCCTGTGATCTAACGCCCAATGCATTAACACGTGACAAAACGATTAACTTATTTTTAACCTAAATCGTCGCAGATTTCGGTTATTTTAACCTTTACCGTCGGACCACACATTTTATCTCGCTTACATGGTTCATAGATTTTTTTTATGCCACACATTTGTAGGTTTCGATTGAATGAAGAAAACCGAATTGGAGCTTCACCTTTGTTGAAAATATTAAAAAACAAAAGTCACAAAATCTCGGAGGCCGGCTGAACGAACACATATCTACTGTCATCGTCATTGTCAGATATATTATCTATCTTTTTATATATATATATATATATATATATATATATATATATATATATAATTTTCAGCTGTTGTATGGATATGGGTTTCATGCTTTTGCGATCTGCTGATCGGAAAAGCGTAAAACCCAGGGTTACAAACTCTTATTCATACAACTGAATATGTTAGCTCTATGACTGATATTGAGCACTTTCTAATAAGTAGCGTGCATATATATATATATATATATATATATATATATATATATATACGAGAAAAGTGATTAAATCCGACAAATATTTAATATATTTTCTGTTTATACGTTATTTTTTATGGATACACTTATTTAAGTAAATGCTCTGTTTACTTAAAAACCCTGATAGTTCGAGAAATTTCGGAATTGAACCTGCATCCTATAAGGATCCACCATTAAGCCTGGTGGGCTATAACCGTTCAGCCACGGGGAGCTTCCTGTTATGCTAAGCTCAAATTAATGCTTTTAAATACACTTTCGCCGATCTTTCTCAATCTATTTGCTCTGTATTCGTATCTTAATGTAAACAATGTCAACATAGTAAATGGATTAAATCCAACAAATAATGAATTTTCTGTTTATACATTATTTGTTTATGGATACACTTATTTAAGTAAATGCACTGTTCTTTAGTTAAACAGTATTAATTACATTTACTGGCCTGAATGTTCGAGAAATTTCGTAGAAAACATGCGTTCTCCGGCAGAATTCGTATCTTTACATATTATAAACAGACACTATATTAAACATTTGACGGATTTAATGCATTTCGTATAAGTCCTATTTATTTATTATACTGGGTCAATTTTTCTTCAGTGAGTAATTTTTGGCATCTTCATATTAAAAGTATCGAAACTGTCCACAGTTCATGGTAATTCTTAAATTTCTAAGATTCCCACTGGCTTCCGTTATTGTTGTGAATTAAACAAATTAAAAGAAATTTAAAGCCCGTATCGTGATGGTTTGGATTTTGGTGATTAGTTTGAATTACAAGTTTTTTTGTTTTTTTTTTTAATTTGTGATATCGTGTGGAAATCATGTTTGAATTTTAAAATTGTTAGTGTGTTAATATAAAAGAGTGGATTCTGAGAGTTTATTCTAGAATGATAAGTTATTTTGCTTATTGTTAGTTGTTTTGATTTAATATGAATAGCTTCTAAGATTTGTAATCGTTTTTTGAAAAAAATTTTTCCGAGTATTATTGAATTATTCACAATGCGCTTTCTCATACTATCGTAATTTTTGTGCGTCTGTATTGTGTGATGCCGTATAGCTATTGTATTGGAATTATAACAACAGATCCGTAATGTTCAAGTCCGGTAAAGCAAATAATTAAAATGCTACTTTTCATGTAAGCAAGCTTAGAAGATTAATCCAATACAATTTTCCTATTTTATTTCATTTATTTTTTCTTATTTAGCTTTTTGTTTTAGCTAAGTAAATATCCATAACAATTCAATCTCAATAGTGGACGCTTCTTGCTCTTTTAAGCACAAAAAACTTAATCTTTCATTGTATTGTCCTCGGATGTTTGTCGCGTGTAAGGGGTCGGGAAATACTCTGACCAGCATGTAAAAGAGAAGTGGTGGGAGAGAGAGAGAGAGAGAGATGTTTTCTTCATTAACCTCCATGTAGGCTTGTTAATAATGTCTCTCTTAAAACAGGTGTTGAAATTCACAAGCGAAGCGGTTGATGTCAGTTGAGGTTAACCTGGTCATCGTCGTTCGTTTTTTTTTTCTTCTTTTTCTTTCATTATCTTCTTAATTGCCCGCCTTTGCTTGAAATCCCAGCCTAGATGACCAACACATGTTCATTCGATTTGTGTCAGTCATCAGAAAAAGCAACCTACTCGCTTTGAAGCCCCATTAAATTCGTGTCAATGAAACCCTATATCATCCGAACATGCCCAGCATGAAGACATGGATACTGACCCACAGTACTTCGGTGCGAACACACTCCTTTCTTCACACAATCTTTTTTGTTTGTTAGTTTCTTTTATGGCTGCCCACTCAAGCGTCTCTGTAAAACTCTCGATCACCCTCTCTTTCTCTCTCTCTCGATCACCCTCTCTCTCTTTCTCTCTCTCTCGATCACCCTCTCTCTCTTTCTCTCTCTCTCGATCACCCTCTCTCTCTTTCTCTCTCTCTCGATCACCCTCTCTCTCTTTCTCTCTCTCTCGATCACCCTCTCTCTCTTTCTCTCTCTCTCGATCCTCTCTCTCTTTTCTCTCTCTCGATCAACCTCTCTCTCTTTCTCTCTCTCTGTCTCTCTCTCTTTCTCTCTCTCTCTGTCTCTCTCTCCTCCTCCCTCTCTCTCTCCTCCTCCCTCTCTCTCTCCTCCTCCCTCTCTCTCTCCTCCTCCCTCTCTCTCTCCTCCTCCCTCTCTCTCCTCCTCCCTCTCTCTCCTCCTCCCCCTCTCTGTCTCCTCCTCCCTCTCTGTCTCCTCCTCCCTCTCTGTCTCCTCCTCCCTCTCTGTCTCTCTCTCTCCTCCTCCCTCTCTCTCTCTCTCTCTCTCTCTCTCTCTCAAAACTCGTTTGCATACAAACCGTTTCTCCCCAATACAGGTTATTTATATATTTTCTGTGCCGAACTTTATTTGCGTTATCGAGGAATCACAATATTTCTTTGATGTGTTACCCGTTGCCTACCTCAGTCTCTTTTGTCTTCGATTTGTCCTGCAAAGTCTTGAATTTTCCAAACCCATATTCCTCATTATGTGTCCAAGAAATGTCAACATTCTCTTTCTCTGGTTCTGACTTATAGTGCCATTCATTTACTAAGCTTAGCTTTGACACAAGAGCATAAGCATGGGGCACTCACTGACGATCACACTCACTAATCATTACGAATGATCAATTTGGCTAGCTCGATCGCTATTATTCACCGTAGAGTTGCCCAAAATTCCAGAATTATTAGTCTATTTAAAATTCTGATGCAGCTTCTTTAACGGTTTTCTGCGTGTTATTTTATTTCTGTTTTATTCTGTTCGACACTTTAATTTCTTTTAGCGTTCAATATTGGCTAGACTCTTTCGATTCATAATAATTTATAGAGTGAGGCTTTAATACAAATCTAGCATTTGGAGACCTTAAGACCAAAATGAGTTCCATTCCCGGTTTATCCATACCCTTCCCATCCCCCTACCAAAATGTCTACTGTGAGAAAATGTCTCACTGAATCTCTCGTACTGTCTGTACGACCCTTGATAACTTGATGGGGCAGTGTCACAGGATTAGAGAAGGAATCAACCAAACTTATTATGCCTTGCACAAAGTGACAGTCTCAAGGGAGTTTATGTCCATTATTTTTCTAAAGGCGTGACGTAGTCACTGGCGATAAACTTGGTTAGTGTCACCTTCTCCAAAATACTGACCGACCTACTGATGGATGCCCCCTTTTAACTGGTTATATATAAATTTAAAACTTGATCTTTTCAAACTAGTTCCTCGCCAAACTTCTATATTATAAAGTTTTTTTTTTCTCTTTTCATGTAGATTTATTTTAATGCCACCCTTGTAAGGGTGGAGTTACACAATTAATTTTTTTCAAGTTTCTTTATTTAATTACTACTATAGATTAAGCACCTCAGATCAAATATAAAAAAATATTAAATTTTAATAGGGGGTTCAAGTTGGCTATTTAAATTCATTACGAATGTATAAACCAAAGAAAAAAAATCAAATTTGTAATCTGGAATTATTTTCCATATATCACTCTAGATTATGAATTTTAAAATTTTTTTAATTTACATTTTAAGTACGAGTTTTTTTTTTTTTTTTTTTTTTTGTTTTTTAGCTTCCGTAGGGCGGGGGGATTACTTTACAAATAATTTACATAGAAAAACTGGACCCTGCTATTTACTTTTATAACATTTAATAATTGCTTTTATATTCGAGATCGAGTGTGTTTTTTTTTTTTTTCAGTGAAACACCGGTTTTCAGTTGTGTAATCAGTTCTCCTTTTATGTACCGTATCCCTTCAGGACGTTTGCGATCATGGCCCTCCACAATATCCTATAATTTGTATCTTCAAACGAGTTCTTTTTTTCGTTATTCTTCCCAATACCTGTTCTCGTATGTATAAAAATTTGTTGGGTATTTTAGTCGTTGCTTCCCTCTGTCTCCCCATATGTCTCATGCGTGTCAAACTTTCCAAGACTTCTTTCCTTATTATATATCCTAGAAATTGCAACTCTTACTGATTTTAAGTATGTGTCATTTTTTGCTTCCGTTCTCTTTAAAACATCCTCGTTGTTCGCATAATTTGTTCATAATATTCTCAGCATCCTTCTGTAGAACTACATTTGTGTTGCCTCAAGTTTCTTCATCTAAGGTTTGTTTTACAGGATATCAACCTTAATATGTTATTTAATGCCGACAAGATTTGTATTACTGGTAATTTTTTTTTTTTTTTTTTTTTCAAAAATGTATTATTGTTATTAAAACCTATTTTTACACTTTCATAATGTTTTGACACCAGTTTGGGGAGGAGGGGTAATTATTTACCCATAGTTGGGACCCTAACAGGTGGTAGGTCAGAGTGGACCTAGAAACACCAGCAATTAAGAGGTGGTTCCATGTTCCTCAAAACCTCCTGATCAGAGGCCTTGTTGCTGGATGTAGTTTATCGTCATACCTAGGACGCTTCTTCATCTGTGAAAAAATTGTCCAGTATGCATTATTGGACGACTAATATCACATAGCGGTTGAGCACTCTTTTCTTTGTTTCTGGCAAAATTATTCTGCTTAATACTTCGCTTAGCTTTTGGAAAGTATATTTGTCTATTCAAATGTGCCTTCGGATTTTGTCACATTAGTTTAAAGAAAAGAAAGAAAACGCCTGAAACCCTTACACTCACCTAATTTACTAATGCTAGAAAAATTTACTTGTTTATAAAATTTTTTTCTTGCAAATGGAGTCCACAGTACAATTTCTCAGTGTCCTAATCTAGCACAAGGCCACAACATGTTCACTTTAACTTTTCTTTCTTTTTTATGTGCCATGTCCTTTCAGGACGTAGGCTATCATAGCTCGCCGCCTCCCTTTATCCCTTGCAGCTCTCAACAAGTTCCTTCCCTCTGCTTCCTCCCCAAGACCACGTTCTGTCAGCCACTTAAGTCCGCCAGGTATGTCACGCGTTGTTTTCCCTTAAACTACTTTAACTTTCACATTAAATACTTAATTAAATATCATTTTACGGTAGGTGTCCATCAGAATTACAGGAGGTGGCTTTAATATTTCCATGATACCGAAAAGTTCGGGAAAGGTGATGGGCGCTTTAACTCTTAAACGCATTAGGGATAGCTTACTGAAAGATTTTTCCACAGGGTTAAAGAAATCAGAACTGATGATAGCGGTAAATATCAATACATACAACTTTGACGCCATTAAAAGCCACACCCTGTAATGGAAATGAGGTACAATGGCCCTTCCTTTTAACGGAAGTTTACATTAAAGGTAACACCTACCCACAGTGAAGATTCTAATAAATACGTCAGGCAACTGAGTGCAATGGTTCTAAAGTTGGGCAAAGGTCAGGGTCATCGCCGTGATGACTTTCTATTGGAAGCTCCTTCTGCAATTCTCATTATACGCTTCTCGACTCGCTAGTTTTTAGCCTTGCCTTTCAGAAACAAAGTTGTTTTTCTGGGTGCCGACTCGTCTTCACGTCCGCCTGTCCTCCTTGTCATTTGGCTTCACGAAGACCAACACTGGAGCAGGTGGCATTAAAGCAACCATGGCAAAGTAAATAACAAGGAGAATTTTGGTCGATTAAAAGAAAAGACGGTTTCTCTAAAGAAAATTATTCTTCGGCATTTGGGTGTCATTTACTAACTTAAAGTTTAGACTTATCTATCCTCCTACATATATATATGTGTGTGTGTGTGTGCGTGACTTCAACCATTTAACATGAACGGAAAATAACAGCCTACCTTATATAAAGGCGCCTTAGTCTCTTTTAAAGTATAGCAGTTGGGACATTAATCCTGTATCGTTTCCAGTTTTCAAAACGCTCTTCCAACGATAAAAAAAAACAAAACACAAAAAAAAAAAAAAATGTCAGAGCCAAATATTGACTGTAATAAAAATGGGGTGGTGGTCTGATAAACTTACATGATGTGATAAACTTGATCACAGGGAGTTGTGACTAATCGACTCGATCCGTGAGTTAGAGCCCAACAGCCACACGATGCACAGCACAAGCTCACTTAATAACGCCACCCAGCTGATTGACCAACTGCAGGGGGGGGTTGATATTCATCATACGTGTTATGGTTCCACCGAATTAGTTACATCAAGGGTTCTCAAGATATGCAAAATTTCAAAAGCTTTGGATACGTGCAGCTTATATCTTCTCTCTTACACACATGTAATCGCACAGTGAGTTTTGGGAGTAAGAAAAAGTGCTCAATTTAAATATAACAGAATTAAGATATACAGAGTGCGATGTGCAAATTATCGCCATTTTATTTCTTTTTAATTTCGCGCATGCGCGTTTTTTGTTTTTGATTTTGTCGACTGCATAGTAGAGTAGAGTCAGTTGGACACCGTCTGTGAGAATAAAAGCACCATGATGCAATTCGTTCTGCTAGAAATTTGGAAACTGCATGCTAATCTACTTTGCATTCGCGCCGAAAGCTCCAATACGAACATTTCAGAGTGCTTGGGTGTCAATCTGAGGACAGTGCAGAAGATTTGGAAAGAGTTGGATGAGTCTGATGGTGATTGGAAGGTATGGCAACTCGGAAAAATAACTCGTTTCTGATAAGAAAAGAACTTCCGTATTTGTTGGCGAGGGCATCAGACTCAACACGATGTTCCTTGTGTAGGTAGTGCTGACCTGGGTCAAGAGGGTGGCTGCTAGATGACACTGTCTGGCAACATGACTCTGCACCATGCCACACAAGCAGGAGAAACCAGTCATGGCGGTCAGACAATTTCTGTGACCACATCACCTCTTACATCTGGCCACCTAACTCCCCAGATTATTATGTGCAGGGCGCAGTTGAGCGAGAGACCAACAAAACTCCTTTAACACTAAAGGAGAAAGGATTATGGCAGTATTCAAGTTAGTATCAAATTCAGTATTGAAGCTAATGGCGATTTTTATTGAATAAAGTTACTCTTTTGTATTTCATGATGTTTTTGTGTAATTTTGCTAAATATATCTGTTAAAATGTCAATGTTATTTCCATTATTGCGTAATTTATACGACAATTTATCCATCGCATCCTGTATATTATAAACCTTTTCTTGATGAAACATGAAACTTTGAGAATTATCGGGCGGTAAAGAACAACGATATAATTCTTCACGCACACACACACACACGCACACACACAATAAAATGTAGCATATTAAAAATGGAAGGATTCTCAATATCGAAGATAGGGCATTTACTGTGGATATATTCACCATGCAGTGTTGATTCTTATGCACACACACACACACACATACATATATATATATATATATATATATATATATATATATATATATATATATATATATATATAAATATAATATGGTAAGAATAAAAGCTAAAGCTTAAAACAAACATGTCTGAATATAGTATATTGTAAAAATATATTGTTAATAATATATTAATAAGAATAATATAGTATATAATAATTATAGTAATAATAATACAATAATATCAAAATTCGCTGATCAGTTTCATGCAATAATACAAGTATCAAGCGGATATAATATGAAACCAATAAAATGAAATTCAACAGATGGTCACCCACAAGAAGATAAACAACCTGATTGCTGCACGTCCTCATAAGAATAAGTATTTAATTAAAAACATACATCCGGGAAAGTAGATACCTGCCACCCCTGGATTATATAATCAGATTATAGCTATTGGTTTCATATTATATCCGCCTGGTGATTGTTAGGGCATGAACCTCTGAGCAGAGGATTTTGATGTTATTTTAGTATATATATATATATATATATATATATATGACTCTCCCGTTGTATTCGACGTATGAGTATCAAGCAGCTCAGTTTCAAGGAACCGACAGTCAGACATCAGCACAAGTGATTTGATTATAGTGTTGAAGGCTTTGTGCAGGACCGTTACCCACTATTTTATATATATATATACACACACACACTATTGTGTGAATATAATTTGTTCCGTCCGTTGTTCGTCAAACTATTTTGAACGGAATGTTTATAAACTACATTCAGCTATAACATTTCAAAATATTTTTTGTCTTAATTTCCGATACATTGATTCATTCGAATCCGTTTTCAGGATATTATCGAATGAAAGAAATATAAGACTGTCAAAGAAGCCCAGAAAATGTGAGAAAAGACGGTTTAGAGAACTTGTCACTCACAGGCTATATTGAAGGCAAGTGGCACAGGTAAGCAGCGATTAACATGCCAAACGAGCTTGTGTAGAGAGATGGCGTGGAAGTGATAGTAAAAAGACAAATATTGCTAAGAGTTACAGAGGATAGGAAATTGTGGAGAGCCATGATTACCTCTGAGGTGACATGGCACATAAAACACTTTTTTCCTCTTCCGACATCCTGAGGAATACCTCTTTTGAATGTTCTCCATTTTACATAATGAATTTAACACATTTAAACGAGGTTAATGCATCACACTTTGATTAATTTCTTTGTTGGCCAGTTGAAGTCTATTCATTCATTATATTATTGTTAATGTATATATTTGCATAGTAAACATTTTGTTCTTTTCTTAGATCAGCGATGACCCTGAAAATAAGGTAGTGAAAAATAATAGATTAACGCGTTTTAATTCTTGGATCAAGGTCTTCATGGGTCAGTCAGGAGTCAATCGCATTGATCCTTCTGATGAACTGCCCGATGATCTCAGATCATCTCTACGTGCTTTAAGAGCGCGGGCGACAGGAAATTGAGCCTGCCTATTATAATAAAGATAGCGAGACCTCTCCCCTTGCTTGACGTAGTGTTCATGAAAAGTTGATGATACAAACGGAGCACAACAGAGGCAGAAGATGCTGTTGACCCAGGCTCGGGAATATCTTTCTCGTTTTTGCTCTTAAATCATTGTGGAGGCAGAACAGAATCTCTGTCGTCCATCATTTTCATCGCAGTTGTTTCTATTGTCATCAAAATCTGATCTTCTAAAACGAGCATTTTGTGAAGTCGCGTTACCTCACCCCCCACCCCGACACTCTCTCTTATTCTGTCCCTTCACCACCACCACGTTAAGTCAGCGATAAACCTACACCCTCAACCTGTTCCACAATTGCTATCGGATTATTCTTCATTTTCATTGCTCTTTCAGCCTTAAACTTTTTATCTGCAGTCATCTGCCCGCTTGAAATCGAGCAAGAAGACTTCTCTTTCCTTCGACTCCTTCCAAGTCGTCGAGTGCCACTCTCCCTGACAAAAATCAAGAAATCGACCTTTTATCCAGGATATCTTGTCCATTTTAGAGACATTTTGTTGGGCTTTTCCACACTGCTGCTTTAGTCTTTTTTTTTTCTTTTTTTCCTTATGCTTCCCTATTTTCTTTATTGCTCATTCTCTACACCAGGAATGACAACATTCGAGATTTTATCGCAGAGAAATTCGCTCAGCCCGTTGTCCAGGAAATTACACAAAACACTACCCTGACAACATTCGATCGAACCTCTCTAACATTTGAAACTCTAATTTTTCATCACCCACTAAATTGTGAAAAGGTCTTTTATTTCATTTTTTTATTTTCGTTTACTTATTTTTATGTATTTTATTTACCAGAATTAAAATCACAACCACGAAAGCCATAAAAATTCTTTATAGAAAAGGAGTGGATGAAAGATAGGAACTATGAAGACAGAAGCAAAGAGAAGGGGGGGATAGAACATTGAAGGCAGCACAGAGATTATTAATATCGATGAAGTATTGTTAGTGAATGGGAATTCTTCGATTGAATTTGTTCAGTGAGTTTGAAAGAAGTCGTGCAATCGTCGCAGCTTATTAACGTTTCAGCTTCATTACCATTTGCGCCATTGCCACCATCGGCATACTCTCTGCCTTTTCCTCTTCTCTGCAATCTTCTCCTTCCTCAAAGATGGAACAAGTGTGTGGGTTGGACATAACGGGTTGGGGCAGCGAGCCAATCACTTCTACCAAAGCAGACACAGCAAGAAAGACTGCCTGCCGCTTGTCCATGCTGATGGATTAATTTTTACAGCCAAATTCTGCAGAGCCCACTCCTTGTTGAATTCTGAAAAACACGACCAGTGTATATTAAAGTGAAATAAATTAATGTATTAGACCGGGTTGGCTATGTGTTTCTGATTCCCAGTGGACAGTGCCTTTGTCGGCAGGAGGGGGTTGTTTGGGAGCGAGTAATCTCATTAATGAAAATATTGTCAGAAGTTTGGTCGGGCTCGCCTCAGTGAGCCAGTGTAATGAAGCATCGCGTGTCGACCATTGCTATTCATTCATATGTCTATATTGAAGCGAGTAGTGTGGGCCGGGGTCTGAACCATTGCCTGTTCCATATGTCAGTGATGGATTGGTCACAGAAGCAGAAAGCGGCTCTAGCAAAGCGAACGGTGATTCTGTGAAGAGGCAGATCTCTGTGACGGAAAGATGGGTGGACTGGTGGAAGTAAAGTTTTAAAAAGAGAGAAAAACAGATGACAAAAGAGAAGTGAGAATTATTTTTGTTGTTTTTTTTTTTCTTCCTCAAATCCTCTCCATCTTTCTCTCTTTCACAAAAATAGAGAGAGAGATAGACAGAGTATGAGTAAAGAAGAGAAGAGGCAAGCATTGAAGGCGCGAAGCATGACGGGAAGACGAAAATGATAAGAAGTAAGGACGGTGATTTCTTTTCGTCTATTGATGAGTTACGAGAGAAAGAAGCAGTCGACAGATCCGTACATATAATAACGCGGTTTTTCCTAGCGATTTGCGCCTTTATTGAAAAAGAGACATTCGTGTCTAAATGCCTCCTGTTATTGACTATTGTGGTTGGATATGCAATGTGGTTTGTTACTTGCGCACAAAAGAAGATACTTGAGGACATTATGGGAAACGGTACTGTGTTAGATGGAGAAGTGCTAAATGGCTATATTTATGCGCATGTGCAAAACACCTAAAATACAACTCGTTACTATATATATATATATATATATATATATATATATATATATATATATATATATATATATATATGTGTGTGTGTGTGTGTATATATATACAGTCTGTCTACAAGGTAAAAAGGAACAGAAAAGAGGCATTTGGCGGCTGGCCACTTACAGATATACACGAGAGCAACTTTTATCTGAAGCAACAACATCACAAAAATAAAACAGTCCTATAGATATTTACCAAGCTTAGCTAAGTACGTTATAAAGCCTAATGGTTCTAAGAAGATTGTTCTGCATCAATCTACTTATAGACGGCCTACTTCTCAAAACAAAAACCAGTATTCAAAAATCTTAATTTTACCAAAGCTCGAACGTTGACCTGTGGCACCGGTAGAAAATACACAACATTGTCAGCCACTGAATAGGTCATAGGATTTATGCTTGAAAAACTGTTTAGCAATTTTAGACGAGATTACACAAAGAATGATATTTATTGTTTATATATTTTAACTTTGGCTTGTGCATTTCAATACATCTCCACTTCTGGGTATATTAGGATTTAAACATTTATACGTGTGATCTGCACATGCTTGCATATGCATTCATAGAGATGACAGTTCGAGTGAATATGCAGACAAAACTACACCTTAAGCAGTTCGTTACTATTTCGTTCCGTGTAAGACGAAATCACTTAAAGCGATTGATCGATTCGAGAGGAATAATTAATTAAAATGATTTTTCATTCTTTCATATCGTCCATCAGGGCGCGTACAAACTGTTTTATAAATAACTTAAACTCTGACAGTATAAAAAGTTAATCATTTTTATACACTGACTTATTCGGGCTAATGCTCTCATCTTGTAGTCAAAAATTATTGTCATAAATTTCGACCGTCAGCCTTCTCCAGTTGGATAACGCTATTTTTAGATTCCATAAAACCCAACTATATCCGATCCAGAGCTTGGACTCAAAACAAAATTCATATCCATTTTCCATTGTCTTTCCCTATTCCGGTGAGACTTCGGATTCAGTTGTGAATTTATGGCTGCAAATATCAGTTTTCTTGTAGTTCCTATTTTCCTTAAATATTCCTGGATTTCGGCCTTATTATGTTGAAACACCGCTTCTCGTACGATCACCGAAGTTAAGCAACGTCGAACCTGGTCAGTACCTACATGGGTAACCGCTTCGGAATATCAGCTGCTGTAAGCTTGAATGTACGAATGGCGTAATGGAATTCTCGAAACTTGAACTCGGCTCTCTGAGTTCCAATTCCACTTGGGTTCGTTATATTCACTTACGCGCAAATATCGTTGGGAAAGGCATGAATACATCTCTTCCTTCCGGTTATTTTTTTTAAAATTTAGCAAGATTTTTATCACTAAATCATTACCTAAAAAAAAAGATTCTTAAAATCTAAAAGTATTTTCTGGCTTTAAATAACCTGCAAAGGTTAATCTAAAGCCGTTGAAAACAATTAATCTTTTTTTTTTCATTAGACACCTTTCCTTTTTTACTATATTTCACCAATGCAAGTCCCAAAAGCAACTCAAGGTAAACAGTGAATGAGATTGTTGTCTATAAGGATATGTAAGATATGTATCAGTAGACCCTAGACTTGAAGAAGTTAAGATTGTAGTAATCAGGGAAGCATTCTCTTGGGAGTCTGTTCCACAAATTGACAATTCTGGAAAAGAAGCTCTTTGAGTGGAATTATGAAGAGGATGAAATTGATTTCACACGTAATATGATGGGTCTTAGCTATGAATGTTTAAACTGGAGAAAACCAGCGCGTTTTGTCCATTATATTCTCAGCATTCATCGATAGAACTACAACACTGTCACTTTCATGGGTGTACGGAAGGAAATTTTACCAAAGCCTTGACAGAAGAAATTTTCCCATAAAATGTATAATTTGCCTATCTACAGTGTGAGATAGGCGGTCGATCTTTCAAAAGCACTCACCTCCTACGTCTATAAGTTAAAATAAACCAGCTTTATTAATTTCATCTGAAATATTGACTAAACATAGTCGTATTTCCAAAAACGAATATTCACTGATGGTGTGTCAAGCCCGAACGAAGTGTTTTGTGAACTAGTTATGATACAGCAATGGAGAGAAAGCGAAAAAGATTTTTTCTGGTGCTTCGGGCGTGCTATGACCAGAGATAAGAACCTTATGATCACGGTGTTTCTGATAACTAACCTTTATTTCATTCGCAGTTTCTCACCATCAACTTGACCTGGAGAAAGCCAAATGAGAACGCGCCGATGAATTCCATCGTCCATCTATCCAACCGACGCTGAAAGGCAAACCACGATCTTGGGTGGCATGTGCATTAGGCACAACACAAAATTGGATGGAATGAAACGTAGCAAGATAAGAGTCCTTGGTGACGGAACATCTGCGTCTTTAACCTCCGCTGCTGCTGCTGCTACTTCGTTTACTTGTTCGTTTGCCTGACGAACTAAATTGGGACCGGAAATAACTTGACGCCATTGGATCCTTTGGATCTTAGCAAATGACGATGGAGAAGAAAATTATACTTTATAGCTAACCCCTTGCAGAACGGCTCTTAATTTTTCTTGCGTTTCAGCAAATAGTGAAAATAGAAAGTTACGCCTTTGTTTGATAAGGTTCGCTTGTGGTTAACAAGCCAACTTCCGAAGTCAGACATAAAGAGTTTACTCTTCTCTTAAGTAATGGACTGCTGACCGAGGTGTCCTGTCAAACAAATATCTCTTCAATTAAGTTATCCCTTCGTCTTCATTGCAGCCATTTCTATATTTTTAATATTCATCATCAGTCCAGTGAACGGGTGTGATCGTATGGTCGCTACGTAGCTGTGGACGTAACAAATTCCCTCCACATATCTCAATTGCTTGCAAATGTCTTCTTTTTTCATTCTTTTTAAATAATTGCACGTAGATTTACTGATTCGGTTAAACGTATATTTCTTTGATATTACACAAGGATATATGTAAATTACGATCTTAATTCCTGCTTGGTTACACTCTATATTAAAGATTTTCTACACGATAAAAAAACTTTTAGAAACATGCTTTGTTGTAAAATAATGCCTTAATTCTATAAAAATGGGCATATCCGCGTGAGATATATATATATATATATATATATATATATATATATATATATATATATATATAACGAGAAAATAGTCAATTGCTGATATCTCCTGACGAGCGGACTGAGCAATTTCTGGAGCCTCCGTCTTCAAAAATCGAATCGAGATTCTGAAAATAACAGCAATCAGCTAAGTGATACATTTTATATTTGTATTAATCTAAGTAAAGCGACAAATTTTATATTTATTAATTATATATATATAGTCAGAGTTGAATCAGTCCAGGAAACACCAGTATTAAAAAGGGTTCAATACACGTGGGGAAAAAAATCTTTTTAAAAATAACATGTAGTGATTTTACATTAAAAATTAGAACAGTTGAATCCACTACCTTGGTTTCAATCTTACGGTAACCTCAGGTGATTTTTATCAATTAACCTGCCAACGTTTTATAAAAAAAAAAAAACTAGTAAAATTGAAACCAAGGTAGAGGATTCAACTGACCTCCTAATTTTAAAAGTAATAAATATATATATATATATATATATATATATATATATATATATATACTAAAATTTGACTAAATTTTAAGCAATTCCACGAATAAAGTCATAGTGGCTTAAGTAACTCGAGTAAAACAAACTTGAACAAAAGGTGTTACAAAATACGTTATTTTATACTAAATTCAATAATCCTACTGATTTTAGTAGTTTAGTTACATTGAAATATTTTTCATTCCTATTAATTAAACTTTAGCACAAAACATTTAATTAACGATTTAAATAACAGGAGTAAAAGTTAAGCAACCCGAGTACTGGTCGAAATCTATGTTTCTTACGAAAAAAAGCTCTCGTAAATCGTTAGACATCTGTTTATAGTAAAACTAAGTTTCATTGTTTTACTAATTCCAATGTTTCGCTCTAGTTTGAATGATACAAAATTATTACAATCGATTTACTGAAAAGTGAAAGTGTAAAGTTGCATTTTACCTTTTAATATAGCTTCTTTTTTGTGTCATGTCCCTTAAGAGTATAGGTGACCATGGCTCTAAACAGATTCCTGTCCTTTGTAGATCTAAGCAATGTTTGTTCCCTTACGGTCCCTACCGGTCTATGTTTAGCTATACCTTGTTAGGTAGGCTACTTGTTGTCCCTCCCTGTCGTTTGGGTCTGCGAGTGTTGAATTTTTCAAGCTATCCTTCCTAATCATGTATTCCAGAAATTTCAATTGTCTCACCAAAATATCAGTGTAAGTTAATTCCATTTGAAATGAGAACCATTTATTTGCGTGATATAAAATTACAAATAATGTGATTTAAAAAAAAAAAAAAAAAAAAGTGAAAACTCTTTCTGTCTTGTGACAAGCTTGAAGATGAAAAGAAATTCAATGACAGCATTTTGACCATTGTCAAATTGTTTTTATTTTTCGATTTGTGTCTAATGTCTTTTCGATTACCTAATAAACAAACGATATTCGCAGTGTATACAATTCGTTATATGACTCTAAACAGATATTGTCTTCTCAAATGCTTTCACTTGTTTGTTTCGCCAAGTTACAGAATCGCTGAGAAATAATGTTTGAAGATTTGACTTGAATATTCAGTTGAAAGAATGTGTATAGAAGTGAACTTGATTCGAAAAAAAAATGCGTTAAAATATTGTTAGAGGTCAGTTGGTGCATCTTGATGGCACGTGATATTATTTTGTCGAATCGGCTGTGTCTTCCTCTCACATTTTTTTTTCTTTTTTCGTGAGATTTTGTTTTCTTGCCGAGATCTCGTCAGATGCGGAAGATTTTTCTTCCCAATTCAAGAAAACGCTTATCAAAGATTAACTGATATGTCCGGCTTTTGGTCTTTTCCACACCGTCGAACACTTAAATGATCAGGAATAAAATTGTGATCGGGGGGAAAATATTAAAGAATGTTTGCACCAGAGACTGCCAATTCCATCCTTTATCCTAACACAAGCGCATTCTCGTTTATTTGGAACCGTATGGACCACTGTCGTTTATTTGCTTAGGTGATTTGCTTTAAAAAAAAATAAAACATTTTCGTTTTAGTTCACATTTTCTCTAAAACTTCATCCTTGCTCATATGTTCTGCCCATGGTATTTTCGGTACTCGTTTTTAAAAAACATATTTGTCGCTTCAAGTCTCTTCTTTATCAGTGAGGGTAATGTTCAGCATTAATCGATAGAGAGCGCGCTTTTCTTCATTCCTAACTAGCAGTATAATCCGTCTTCGACCGGGTGTTTCATTACTGGGAATTTTTGCCATTCACTTAGAGCAGTTTAAGTTTAAAGTCAGTCCACCCGGAAATCAATTTTAGTAACAACAATTGGGTACAACTAAGGCATAACCACAAATGGTCAACAATTTGAATTGGCGTGGTCCTGAAAAGGGCCGTTTTTGCGTTCTCAATCTTGCAAGGCGGGAACCTCTTCCATGAACCGTCATAATAATAATATACGATAATTTGTATTTATAATGTATTTATTTTATAATTCTAATAATCTTTTACGTTAGGTTTTAACTCTCTAAAGTGATTGTATGCTGTATGCTGTTACAGACATTAAATTTTGCCTTTGATTTTTGCGCAAAGTGTAAAAAAAAAAAGTTTTTTTCGATTTTTCACCTTCAAGGTTGTAATTATTTCCAGCCAATTTGGACTCAAAACTGGCACTGAAGAATTATATATCAAACAAAAAGAAAAATGATCGAAATCGTATGAAAACTGTGGAAATGCATAAACAACATCCGATTTCTCACACACACATTTTGAGAATTATGAATTTTCATGAATGCTTTGAATATTTTTGGAAGGCATCTTTCACTCTTTCAATACGTTTTTGGATTTCTGTGTGACATAAAATAATCTTCGTTCCCTTAAGTTTCCTTTAGTTATCGTTCGTAGGGACATCAGATTGGTGAGAAGGACAATTCTACTAATTTATATCATTACTATCTCTTAAGTATACAAGTATTTACATCTCTCAGATTTGACGAAAAAGGGACCAGTTATAGTATTGGTAATATTAGCGTGTTTGGATAACGAATTATTTTCCACCCTTGAACTCCTTTCTCACAAACGAAAGGGTCACAAGACTCTCACTGTTCAATCAT